AAGCCACTTAGAAGAGAGATGTAGAATTGATGAAGGATGAATATAGAACCAAACCGTAAGAATAATATAACTGTATTCTAAAGTAATACTAGACCTGTTCACTAAGGGAGTTGATTCAGGACTGAATGCCTGTTACTGCCTACGCCCTGCTTTTATACAATTCCTTATCAGTTGTTTATGCCTTGGCTGTCAACAACATAACCCCAGATAAGGATTGTTCACAACAAACAGGGTCAAGGGTTATCATATTATGTAATAGTGATGTAAACAACAACAACTTTGTGTAGGTTACCGGTCAAGGGTCAATTCTTACATCATATTTATGTAAATAAACACTTGTTGTTGTTGTCAACATGTTTGTTATGTAACATCCTATCCTTTGCCTATAAAAGGGGTTGATTCTGGCAGTTCGGTACCATCTACCCCAGAGACAACATCTACTTCAACACTTCTACCATATAGTAAGTATCATTTATAAAATATCTACAAACTATAGTTTATAAGTTTACAGACACTATACATTTTGATAGGCCAACATTTAATTAATTAATATTTGCTCAAAATTTAATTTTTTTGTCTAAAATTTATACTGAAAAAGAGTTATATACATGAAATATTGAAAAACAGTAGGATAAAAAGGATTATGAAGAGACTGAAAAGAAACAAGGAAAGGTTGACAGCAGCAAAGGAATTTGAGGTAGACGTTTACCTTAAAAAAATTTGGATGAAGTTGAAAAAACAAACTTAAAGTATAGAATTGATCTTCTCATCCAAAGATTACAAATGAAGAACAGAGCATTGCACAAACGATGGGTATAAAAAGTTTTATATTGTATGGTAATTGTAGGAACCTCGAGTTCATTACGATTGAATTCGTCCTCACCAATCATTTACCAATAAACCAAAGTACTGGTCCAAATATCACCTTTCAAGTTCGTCCCACAGGTAGTCTCAACAAACGCAATTCCGGCCAAAATTAATCAATGAACCGCCAGTATTTCGTGCAAAGAGTATGTATTGAGTATAATGAGTTTTAGTTCTAAACAAGCAAGCTTAAACAACTAGCTAACAGTTAAAACTGAACTGACAAACTAAGGAAATGCATTTCTTTTTATACATTTGCCAAGGCTTGGGTTCAATTGTTCAAAGGAACGCAAAGTTGAAATGTAATGATCTTACAATGAACGTACAACAAAGGTATGAAAAACAGTAATATCATATAGGTTATGCATGTGGTACTTCGAAAACAAGCCTTAGTTTTCAGCATCTGGTATTGAATAAGATGTAACAATTTTGACATGCATTTTTTCCTGTTCTTTGTTCCATTGTTTATACCACTGTGGCAACATCTGTTTTGTTCAGAGAATTTTACTTTGTACGAACTAAAAGCCTTTCTAGAATTCAAAGCATCTAATTCCACTAAAAAAGGTCTTTCTTAGGTTTGGGTTATTAATTCCATCAAAAAGTGGTTTTTTCTAATATTTCACTATTCTAATTCCTTTAAAATAAGATCTATCTAAAGTCTTTATATTATAATTCTTTATATTATAATTCCAAAGTGCACAAGGGTTGCAAAAAAATATGGGCAGCAATGGAGTAATGGTTTGGGACTAATAACCGCAGATGGAGTATTTGAAGTTTGGAAGATTACTGAAAAGTTAAATGCTGAGACCTAAAGTTATTTTATTGTGCAAAATGTTCTTCCTGTTTTAGAAGAAATACCAGTTAAAATGGGCTTTTTGCCACACTGCAAAAAGTACAAAGAAAGCCTTTAGGACGAATGACATCAATATGCTCGGTTGTATTGTAATAGTAGGAATTTCTAGCTCATACATTTGTATTGGTCCTTTCCAATCCTTTATTAATTTGCTCAAGTACTCACACAAATAGAACCTCAAATATGTTCACAAAATACTTACTTTTAGAATGACTTTTGATGCCAATAATATCAATCTATTAAAGAAAGTTCAGAAAGTTTTAGTTTTGCTATTGAAAATGGTTAGGATTAGGACAAAGATTTGTTAACGTTTTCATCCAATGAGTTCTGGGATCAACAGAAAATGACTCAAACAGAAAACAGTATAGTTTACAGCTAGAGATAAGAGACTGATGAGCTTTTATAGATAAAACTGGTGACGTGTTCTTTTTGAATGCATGGTTAATCTGGATAATCAGAAATAAATGTCTACATAAGAGTCTTAAAATGTTCTGGCAAAATAGATGAAATGTCCAATTTAGGGGCTTAATGTCCCGGATTTTATGTATATACAGTATAGGCAAAAAGACTCACTTTTAACTAACCCCTTTTTTCGAGATATAATTACTAAAACTGGATTCTATAACAGAAAAACAATTTTTTGATAATCTTTTGTAAAGAATATTAGTTTATATATATTAATAATTATTATTACCAATTAAAAGTAGTTATTCAGTATATCTTAATATCGAAAATAAAAATTTTACAAGTTGGCTGGGGACTTTTTGCCTATTCTATATATAAATTGATGTAAAAATCAAACTTTAACACAATATTTAAAAGATAAAAAGTAAAAAATATTTTTTCTTATAGAGAAAAATATCTTTTATGGTCAGCCTTTAAAAATTCCTAGTGTTCCATTTTTTTATCAGTAACTTTATTTTACTGGATTTTTTTATCTATGAACATGAGAAATCATGTTTTTCTGTGTTCTAATCAGTATTAAATTCACTTATTTATCATCATATCACTTCTGGCTAGAGAAGTCCAAAAGCGAAATAAGTGATGAACATGATGACTGCATTCTGTTGTTAATACTCTAAAAAAATTTATAACTTTTACTGATTGCAGATATAATATAATGAATAAATTTCCAATTTTTTTACTCTACTTTTTAATGTTCAAAAGGTAATTTACATCTCTTTTTTTTGCTATGTTTCTTTGTTATTTTGACTTTAGTTTTCAACTAAAGTCAGTTTATATTTAAGAAATTCAGAAGGCTCCTTAGATTGTTCAATTAGTTGTCAATCAAATGAATTTTGCAAGATAAAAACTAATCTTACATGTAAAATTTAATTTAATATATAGCAAATATTCTACTGTTGCCTTGTTATCACGTAATTACTTGGAAGGATTGTTTATCAAATCTTCCAAAATCAGATTGTCCTTCTTGCAGAGAATTTATCAGAGGATACGTCATTATAAAATCAGATATGGACAATCATCTAAATTTAAACTTTAAAGAAGAAAACTTATAAATTCTACTTGGTTCTACTATTTTACAGAAAATTGTTACTATTTTGCAGTTGATTGATATAAGTACTGAGGACTACTGAGATTCTAAAACATTAATTTTCAAATATTTGTTTTGAAAGAAAGTTATTTTCAGTTGAATGATATAAATATACAAACTTAAATAAATAGTCTGAATAAAAGAAAACTTGTCAGTATGAATGTCACTAAAAATCTACAGTCACAAATGAAAATGTGATACCTTTTTTGACAAATTTTACTATTTTATCCCCTTAACTAATCAGAATAGCTATGCTTTATGTACGAAAACATTGGAAATCTATTACAGTTTTATTATGAAGAAATGGAACATTTGTTGAAAAAGAGAATAAGATTAATGGATTTTTTTTGCCAATACCCTATATCTTGTACGAAATTGAAAATGGTTCAAATGACTAAACTTTTCTTAAGCTAAAGAAATCAACAGTGGAATACATTGCAAAACCAACTTATAAGAAGGTTGGCAATTTTGGGGGACCGGGAAAAGTTTCAAAGAAGACCAAGACAGAAATTAAAAAAGAATTAAGGAATTCAAATTCATGTTACCTGATTTTATCTTTGGTTTTATCATAAAACTAGATCTAGGATTAATAGGAATGGAAAACTCAGAAAAATGGCTAAAGCTTTCAACAACAATCCTGACTTGCCTTGGTACCGAGTTTGTCCATACCATTCACTTAATACTTTGACTACTTTGATATATTTGCAAAGTAAGGTCACTGTAAATAATAATTTTCATGGCTAACTAAAGGATATCAAAAGATAAGTTTCTTATAATTCCCAATAAAATATGCAATGTCTGAAATGATTATAAACTAGGACAGATAACATCATTAAAGCTTTTGGATAAAATGTGACCACATATTTTCAGTAGTAACTTTTATAAATTATAATATGCTAAATTTTTTAGGGGTTGAGACAAAATATCCCTGAAGGGGCTAGGTTTGGGGCTTTTTTAGGGTTAAGAAAAATTCAATTGCATTGATTTCTGTCTATGTCAAGGTCAAATTGAAGGTTAGGGACAAAGAAGCAGAATTACTTTACCCAGTGTTGGGTTAGGGTTAGAGTAAAAATGGGGACATTTTGTCCAGCATCCTGCGGGGGCATTGCTTCCTTAAGTGGATAAAATTAGTAAAAATTGTCAAAAAAAGGTATCACACGAAAATTGGCATCTGTGACTGTATTAGAGAACACGTGAGAAGGAATGGGAGTATTTGTAAGTTACAGCAGTACTGGTTCTACTCTAACATCTAAACAAATGCTTAATTTAAATGTATTATTCAAAATAAAGTACATAAGCAAGTAAAAAAAACCTTTTACCGATTCTGATAACATTTCTTTTGATATTGGAATATTTTACTTTCATTTAACAATTTTTGGTAGACTAGGACTACTTCAGCTTTGTGTTGAATGGAATCTATCAGTTTGTAAAATGAGTAGTTGGCTTCCACTTTTGAATTGAGTCTTCTATGATACACTCACAATGATTGTTTGTTCCAATCACCAAACCATATACAAACTATCTGGAAGGATAGAACAAATCATTATTTAACCAAGTATTTTCCATGTAGGTAAAAAATTGGATAAGATTGCAACCTAATTTAGAAGACAGTTTCATTGAAAAGTATGTTAATTTGATAATAATTTGATAATTCTTAGGCCAAGAATGAAAGGGAAGCCTCTATTTTCCTTAAATCAATTAATTTAAATAAAGCATAGCATTGAGAAGTGTCTAATTAAGAATTGAATCTCTCTTGATGAAATTCATAATCCATTCATATTGCATTGGTATCTATAAGAAGGAAACAGTTTAACATTAGTGAATATATTAGTATTGTGTTTGTCTGCTAGAAAGTACTTACATTTGCAGCATAGTAATTAGCAAAATTAACGGGTTTTAATGTAAAAATTCCATAAAATATCCATTGTTTGTTATGTAGACATAAAATAGGACCTCTAGAGATTGGTACCTAAATAAATGTTCAAAGAGAAATTCATCGTCAGACTGACAAACAAACATTTTAAGTGGTGACCTACTTTTACTTTAGCCATTGTAAATACAAGTCCGTTGTCCAAGAATTTTATGGGAAGCATTAATCCTTTATAGTAAAGGTTTGGTTCTGTTTTTTTTATATGAAACAAGTTATTGTTTTCTATTTGATGTTCGGATAGAGAAAAATTGATTTTCTTACTTTTAGTTTCACACTGAATATAACAATTTTCCAATTGTGACTTTTGTAAATGATTCTGTCTAAGACAGGGGAAACTTAAATCGGATTTTAAATTGTAATCTCTACTTAGAACAAGAATGATCACTTGATTTTTATCATTTGTAAAATTTAAATTTTGAGGTTTATATATTCTGTCAATTCCAACTTTAGTAACTTTTTGTAATGATTTATCAATAATATTGATATAGGTGTTTTTAAACCATTTCTTTTCCTTAGTTTGAATCCTCTGTATCATGATACTTTAAAGAAGAAAATGTAAAAAATACAAAACGTTTTATGAATAAAGTACACTTGGAAGCAGGGTTCAGCAACAATGGCATATCTTGAATGGATTAGTGAACTTGGACACGATATAAATCCATTTTCTCTTGAAATGTATGACTTTAAACAAAACAAATAATATAATCATTTTAAGAATATTTCAAAAAATGGAACATTTCCTCCAAAATTTCTATAAATAGCTCACATGAATGTATGGCAGATTATTTAAATTCTCCTCGAATGGTGTAATTTTCCCCTTGTCTCTGCATAACAACTTTAAGTTTGCTCTTTCTTCTAATTCTAGTAGAAAGCAGGGATATTAGTTTGTTGTTTAAAAAACAATGGACAAACCATCAATGCTGCATTGATTAAATGAAATTATTTTTATAAACATGGTTGGATGTTTTGAGGAGTCAGCTTCAATTATAACTCTTAAGGGCTATGTTTTAAAGTTACAATATAAAATGTATCAATTCATACCAATTGGAAATATGCTCTTTACCTCATCTACATTCAATTTAATGGGATAAGTAAAAACTGATGTTCTTTTTGAAAGTTTTGTTATTTTTCCAAACTGCTGTCTTCTCCTTTAAAAAGAAAACAAACAGAAAGTGATCCTCTGTAATCTTTTTAGTTAGCTATTAGACAAAAAAATTTTCACACTCTTTCATATTCTCTCCTTTTTGATTTCTTCTTACTGGTTCTCTATACAGATTCAACGGTTCGGTTAAGTGTTCTTTTGAACCAATAAGCAAATTGATACAGCTAATAGTTGGTTTTAAATTCAGGATTGGTGAGATTAGTTGAGCTTTTGAAAGTTTTTCACCATTTTCATTAACAATACCAAAGATGTAGGCTTATGGAAATATTAGAATTATTATCAATACTATTACCAATTATAGAAATATTACAGTAAAAGATTTGATTATCTTTAAATCGGTTCCAAATATATTTTGAATTGAGTAAATTTTCATTTCCTTTAAAGTTGTGATGAGAACTGCCAAAGTCAAATTCTGAAATGACAAAAAAGTGCAAAAGACAACAGATAAAATAGATATTTTTTCCAATAATAATATACATACTTATGGCTTTCTCATTACTTTCGTCTATGTCATATTGATGGTTGCATAATCCCTCACCTTGAAACGAAATCTTTTTCAATCGTAATGAGCTTTTTAAGATTTTTAACAAGATTTGAAATTCTTCTTGTTTTGGTAGGTTACAAATACAATAATACTCTTCCTCAGCTCTTTTAGCAGTAGTTGTTGCTAAATTCAATGAATGATAAAATATAAAACGGTCTCTTTTACCAAATCCTCTTCTCTTAATAAACATCTAAAGATTGAGTTGGAAGAGAGATAATTCTTCATATAGATTAAAATATCAAAATGTCTTTTACTTGAATAACTCCTGAAGGCGGCTGTAGAACTTGAATATTAAGTGACAAGCAACTTTTATTTGTATTATAAAAAGGTGATTCAAAAGTGAGGTAGTTGTCACTTCGATTAGAAATATCTTTCATTTTTATAAGTAGGCCTTTGTTGTCTGGAAAAGAGAGTAGCAGAGATGGGAAAGGCAGATTGATAAAAAAATCATTTATTACATCTTGATTTGGATTTCTGGTCATAAAATGAAATAGATTGAATATTGAAAGAATTTTTTTGTTTTAAAATTTTTAAATCGCAAATGTAGTTGTTCTTATAACATTCTTCAACTGAAATAGAATTTAGGTCAGAAAAACACCAGAGAAAAATAACTCCAACCTGGTTCACAAGGCAAATAATTCAATGTAAAACTGTTGAAATAGATATATGATCTATAATTCATTCTTAAAAATTCAAAATCAAAACTATTAAATTCCAGTTTTATCTATTGGAAAAAGAATGATTATTATCGTTATCAGGGCCTGGAGAAAACAGCCCAATAGGCTTCTATAGTTTAGGGTAGGGTTTTGGTTATTTGTAGGCTTAAAAATATTTTCATTTAGTATTTTCAATTCATGCAGGCCTGTTAAATGTTGGGTTGGTTTTAGGGTAAAACACCAAGAAAAATGGGCCGTTTTCTCTCATACCCTTCAAAAATACCTGTTCAACAGTTTTTGAAATGTTGACTTGACCATATTCTATTCCATTTTGAATTTTCCTATTGCAATAAAAAAAAGAGATGAAACTAACTAATTCGTTGAAATGATAAATATCTACTTGAAAGTATTTTCGTATCTATTCTTTACATAAACAGCTAGTTTGTCAATAGAGAAATCTCTATTTGATTTTAATTTGATTATAAAGCATTTGTTGGATGAAAATTCTTGAATTTTTGGTGATAAAATTGTTGATACACCATGTTTAATTGTATGATATTTTGAAAAGAATATAGATAGATAATAATCTGAAAATTGTAAAGATAAAATTTCAGTGTTGAACATTTAAATTAGCAAAAGTATTTACTTTGTCTTTTTATTTCTTTGATAAATCGCAGTTCAAAAGTAGAATTAATGGTATTTAATATTTCATAACCGCATAATCCATTATTAAAATTACAGGTTAATCTCTCCATTTTCTTATCATATCTTGGAAATAATGGATTTCTGCAATAACCATCTAAAATATCGACATAATACAATTTGACATTTTCATAATTGAATTGCTTGAAAATAATTTCAATCTGTTGAAAAAAAAAAGACATTTTATATTTTAAAATTTGACCAACTTTTTTTTGGTGAGAACTTACAGTTTTAGGCGAACTATATGAGTAAAATTCAATTTGCGTCCTGTTAGTGAATTTATATTCAATGGAAGCGACATGTTTTACAAATGATGGATTCTCTTTCCATCCAATTTGACTAATCTGTCAATAATTAATAATTATTATTTTAGTTGAAAAGCCATTATTACAATTTTAGTATTATTACTGTTATAGAACTATCAACATTCGGAATTTCGTTAGGATCTTTATAATCAAATTCCAAACATATCACCCTTTTACCAGATATTTTTGGAATAAACAAATGCGGTAAAATACTTTTTTGATTTGGATTTGCATCAGTAAATGTTTGCCATTTCCAATTGCCACCACCTTGGTTCCAACAGTAACAAAAGTATAAACAAACAACAAGGAAAATCAATGGTAATTTAACATCTACTTACATTGGGTAAAAGTTTGTTTATCCAATGAAAATTTTGTCTGACATGGCTTATAAAGAAAATTACAGGACAGTAGAAGACCTACAACAATCAAGGATAATAAGATAGTCTATTCAAAAATATATTTAAATAAACATTACTGTTTTTATAGTAATCTCCATTGGAAATAGAAAACAATCTTACTGCGTCATCTCCAACTTCAAAGTCACTGCTTTTCATTTCAAGCTTAAACTTTTTTTTGTGTGAATAATAATTAATAAAGGTGTGATCTTTTTTTTAAGTATTATTAACTTTTACCTGATTAACTTGTTGGCTTAATTCCAAAAATATTGTTTGATTACAGAAGAAATTCTTCCTTATCTTTCTTGTATGAGTGAAATATTTCTCTTTTTGTCTTTCCATCAAATTAACAGTTTTCATTCCATTGTTATTGCTCATTTCTAATCTTAAATGTTTTGGTGTTTTCCCTTCAATAATTGGTGAAATTAGTATTGCAACTCCATTAGTTTCATATTTAGTCTTTTCCAAAACCAAGCTAAAATCTGATGGATGGATGGATGAATAAATGGATAACTAAAAATAACAATATTCTATACCTCTTTCTCCTTGCATTTGCCACTTGAAGTAAAAATTGGATGTTGTTTTTAAAATACGATAATCGCATATATCCTTCTGGAAATTACAATCAAAAGAAGCTTCTTTCAATGAATTCCCATTTTTACAGTAGTTAATTTCAAATTTAACGTTATAAATAGGATTGAATATATATTCTGAATTTCTTTCAATTATCACCTGAAAATAGAAAGAAAAAGTATAAATTTTGTTTGATTAGTAATTAAACAACTTACTTTAAAATTTTTAAATCCATTTAAACTTAATTTCGATTCAAAATTTTCACTTTTATAAGAAACTAAATGATAAATTGAATTGTTGGACTCTTCAACATTCAACTTATTTTTGTTTTCAAAAAAAAAGGTTTAAAACAATTACAAAAGGAAAGACAAAAAAGAGATTGAGAAGAATACCAACATTCACAGTATTCTCAGAATTCGATAGGAATATAGTGTACAAGCATTTATCATTGCCATCCTCAATAACTTTTATAGATTCCAATCTTTTATCAATAAATTTAATGTAACTTAAGGAATGACCTAGAAAAAGAAATAGAATTCCATTGACAATAGTTGTTTTATGTACTAATCCTAAATTTTGCCATTTTGCCACCAAAATCTATTAGTCTATACATCTATATATTTAAAAAATACAAACATTTATCAATTGGTATGCAATTGTTGGGTGTGCTACTCTCTGAATAATTTGTTACCATATTAAACTTTCCAAATAGAGAAGTAAAATTTTCAATTGGAGAATTTTCATCTATTTTCAAAAGAATTTAAAAAAATCAATGGAGTAATTTAAATTTTTACTTTTCAGTTGATTGCACGATTGAGAATATATTTTTATTCTATTAATTTCAATATTTTCAGCACTCATTTCAATTTTAAACTATAAAAAAAAAATTTTCATTAGCTAAATGACAAATTGGAATTCTTTTTTTTATTACCTGTTTAGAATTTACTGGAATATCTAAATTAGAATATTTTACCATAGTTTGGCAAGTTATTCTTGAAACTTTTACAAACTTATTTGTGTATTTTACAAAGAATTGATTAAGGAAAACGTTGCACTCGGCTATAGGATACTAAAAGAGTATTCAATTATAATTCCTTTAAATCAATTCCTTCAATTGTAAAATCACTGACCTTTGCATTCTGTTTAAAGTTTAGCTGAATGCATGCCGATCCCTTTTCAAATTGATATAAAGGAGATATTACTATTGTACCCTTACGTCCAGAAGTAACTTTCATAATAGAATATCCACACAATCCATCAATAAATTCGCAAGACAATTGATCAACTAAAATGAAAAGTTTAATTAGCTTTTAGATACAAATTTTAAATAATTATAAAAACTTTTCTTTGCTTTTTTCAAAATTCCTTTTTTGCACATAGAATTTCTGATTAATAATCTTTTAATTTTTAAATTTCCTTCCAAAACTTTCCTTTGAAAAGGTGTAAATACATTAAATGAAATTTTCCATGGTTCTGCATCTAATTATCATTAAACATTAAAAAATAACGGAAAATTTAGTTTAAGTCTATTATATCATTACAGTTATAATCAAAGTTGATTGTTCTTGTATTCCATTGTTTGTCAAAGAAGAATTTATAGTCAGAATAGTATTGATATTTTTGATTTGTGGCTAAAATCTGATAAAGTAAAGAAATTTTAAAGTAAGAATGAAAGATAAAATACAAAATGGAATGTTACCTTGAATTTGGTGTTTTTCGATTTATATAAATAAGTGATACAGATAGATCCAGTAATGTCAATAGATGGTCCATGTACTATACATTCTTCCGAATTTTTGAAAGCATAACTTGTTATGTCCCAATACAATTCTTCATCTTAAAAGAGAAGGAATTCTATAAATAGATTATTATTGTTTCTTTCCATCTCTCTCTCTATCTATCTACTATCTATCTAGCTCTCTTTCATTCACTCCACTGGCTGATCACTCTTCTCTCTATCCATATATTTTACTTACTTTTGTCCATTTGTCGAGTAATTTTGCAAAAACTTTTATTTCTAGCCGATATTTCAAAAGATAGTTTAGCATAATCCTGTTCAACTATAATGATAATCTATTTATAGAAATAAGAATTTTGCACATTTTAAATCATGATTACCTGATTTTATCTTTGGTTTTATCATAAAATTACCATCTCTATTTGGTTTTATGCTATACCTAGACACTACGTAATAAGATATTAAGGAGCCTGCTAAGACAACAACAACGAAAAATAGAATACAGCTACGAATATTTTTTTTGCATCGAGATGTTCGAGCTTGTTCTTCATGTGTAAAAGTTACTGCTGGTGTATCAGTCTGATTTACACTTCTGTACTGTATAAATTAATTCTTTTTATTAATTATTTCGAATATTGCATAATAAATAGTATTTACCATAGCAGACATTGATGTTTTTGTTAAAATAACTTACACAATAGCCACATGAAAAACTGGAAAAGCATCGCTTCTCTGCTGAATGATAATGTGGTGTACTCTTGGAAAATCAATAAAATTCTCTGCAACCAAAAGCGCTTGTATAAACATCAAATGATCTTATTTCTTTAACAAAATAACTCTACAGTTAAATGTTATTAAACAACTATCATCCTTAGTTATCTTGAATTGTTAGATTTTAAAATATTCACTTTATTCCCTATGACACTCTAACAGTCTTACTGCGTCAACAAAAAATTCCTCGCCATTAATTCTTAGAAAAAACGTGGACAAAAAATAAATCAATAATAGTCATGTGACCCAAGCTTTTTACAGACAAGGTTGTTTATACAGTAATCCACATAAATTTTGGAACACCCTAAAATTTGGTAGGCCAAATTTGAAATAACGGTCAAAAATGTTTTTTCCCACAAAAATAGTTTATTTTGTCTAATTTTAAATAGATAAAGAATAGTATTTACGTAATATTGAAAAAAACTTGAGAAAATGATGATATTTGGGAAATTTTTTGGACTTATCCAATTCTCCAAATTAAGTTTATCTATTATTGTCAATTTTAATTATATTAGTTAATTTTCACTGTATTTATTTAACTATGACGTGGAGTAAAGACATTAGGGATCTTCTACTAAGAAAATAGGAACATTATGAGCAACAGCAAGGGTTTTGGAGATGGCACCATCATCAGTTAGCAATATTCTACGATACAATCCACTTATGGCTAAGGTTTTCAATGACAATCCTGACTTGTCTTGGTACTGAGTTCGTCCATACCATTCACTTAATATTTTGACTACTTTGATATATTTGCAAAATAAGATCACTGTAAATAATAATTTTCACGGATAATTTTCTGAAAGTTTTTATAAAATACTGCAAAACTGCAAAAATATCTCTTTTTCTTTGTTGAAGGTTTTCACAACAGATAAAATACCAGTTTTTAATAAAATACTGCTAATAAAATCTATGAGAGTTATTTCATAGAATCATTAATGAATCGTTACTCATCACACAAAAATTTTAAAAAACTCAAGAAGTAATGTTTTCTTCTAATTTTTTTTTCAAATTCTTAATATTTTCTATTCAGTTAGAAAGTTGTCTAATCAACAAAGTTTTAATGATTTTTGAAAAGTTCTTTGTCCTTTTTCAAAGACTCCATTATGTAGTCTGGTGGATCATCAGCATTTCTTTGTTGATAAGTATTGAAATCTTGTGTATTGACTTTACATTGTTGTTTTTAGTTTCATTGGGTTGATTTTTAAACAACATATAGCTTTTTCTAACAAATTGGTATGTTGGAGAAAATTGCATTCTATTACAACTGAAAAAATCAACTATGTTCTCTCAAAATTAAATAAATATTCCTAACAAAAATATAATACTTCTGCGTCCTTTATTCTCTTGTATATATATATAAATCTTATAATGTTTATAGGTGCTTGCATTGTAGATGAATTAAAGAGAGAAATTGATTTAATAATTTTATGTTATTAATGAACTTGGAAATGTAAAAACAGGCGTAGCAGAGCTCCTGGAAGATAATGTGAAAGTGAGATGCGCAGAAAAATTCGCGACTCCTATCCAAAGACCTCAGTCAGAGTATAGCAAAGGGAGTGACAAGAACACATGCTGTTTGCAATGTGAAAATATATATATCTTGCTTGCTACTCTACTTGTGCAGAAACGAACCCAAGATTGAGCAATAAATTGTCAAGCATATCATGATAGGACATGAGTTCGAAGCCAGACAGCCCCTAGCGCCATCAGCAACCCTCCAAAAGGTGCTACAACGACACCCTAGCCTAAAAAGGAAAAGATAAACCAGTTTACAAGGCAATTGCATACAATTAGCCTTTAGTGTTGTAAATAAAAATTGAAGGAAAGTTTTTCTCTTTTAGAATCTTTTCAATCAACACAACATCTGAAAGTTTTAGATGTTAGTGAAGCATGTTTTGATCACTCTTATTTCAAAATCATTTGCAATAATCCAAGTTTTTAGAAGATTTAAATGTGTCTTATACAAATATTACTGAATTAGAGCCTATTATTCAGTTGAAGAATTTAAATATTTTCCAACTGATGAAGCCAGATTCAAGTATCCATTACAGTGAATTTCAGTGTCTAGTCACATCTAAGTGGATCCTACTACAAAGTAAGTGATACGTATATATAAATGAAGGTAATTTATAGTACTCTAGGCTTAAATCTCTTTTTGAACTCTAAATTATCTGATTACAGACTGTTTGTAATGAAATGAATATCTGACAAGACATATGCCACTTCATGAAAATAAAACAGACTTTGTGGCTAGACAAATGGCAGAAATCTTTAAAACTTTGAGAAAGTTTAAGAAATCATCTTATTCAGAGTCTAATCAAGAAAGGTTTGATGATGTAATCTTTCTGTGCCTTTGATACATCAAAAATTTTGACTATAAGTTAAATGATAATATGAATTTATAAGATTTTCATTCTCAATTTCTTTCATCAATCATTGCAAATTGGAATTCTTTGAAAGATGTAAAAGAAATTTTTCACAATTTTTATTCAAAATAAAAATCATGAATCATGCTCATGATAAATTTTTTTCTCAGATACAATCGGAAATATTGTCAGTTTTACTTCTAAATTCAATATAAACATTTCTAAGTCTCAAAATATCAGAAAACTAGAAATGCTAGTTGAAAAATGTGATTTTTCTGATGTGTGCTATAAAGATTATATGGGGCCAGGACATTTCGGCCCATTTTAAAGCATTCATTTTTAAAATAAAAAAAGGAATTTATAAAGAATAGTCAGTGGTAAGTTTGAGACATATAGACTTTTTAATAACTAAAATGCACTGCAAGGAGTAACAACTTTTAACAAATATTTAAATTAACAAGTCTGTTCAATAATTCATTCAAACTCAATTCTCACTATTCAAATTTACTCCACAACTGGAATATTTTAAATTCTAAATCTTTATACTTCTTCTTTTGTATCTTTCTCAACTATTTTTCAGACAATAACTTTCCAAAGATCTCTACTAATTCAGCTTCTCTGCTTTATTCTTTTATTAGAGAATAAAAGTTTACATCTCTGTTCAAGTTTTTGTTAAGCCTGGAATGCCATGCAGCAACATGATTGTTTGTTCTCACAATTAATTGATAAACAGACCAGAATTGAGGAGGCTAAGTACTACTTTTAATGAATGTTTCTTCAATATATTCAAACAAATCTGAAAACAATTTCTTTCCATGAAGTTCTTCTTTTAGTTAGTTAGACAAACTTTTATTCAATAAAATTTGAAGGAAGATAGACCAAATACAACAATTTTTGTAACATTTTTCCCTTGTATTCATTTTCTTTGTAATCATTAGTGTATCCAAGTTTCTAATAAAATAAATATTCAATTATTTGCTTTATAATATTATTCAACCTACCTAAATGTTCCTCAAAACTGCTTGTTTGAAATGAAAAAAGCATCCTTGAAGGTCAGGATCGGGAAATTGCTCTTTAAGTGCCATCCATGTAGCCTTTTCAAAATTAAGTACACATTTTCTGGATGTTTTATCATTGATTAATTTTCTTATCTGCTGCTTTCAAATATAAACAGATAAATTAAAAGTGATTATAATACTGAAATATCTAAAACCTGAAGCACAGCAATATAGCAGTTTTTCTTCTTGCTACTCATCAGAGCATACATCAATGGAGCCTGTTGATATTCATCATGTTTTTCCAAGAATCCATGAATTGAAAAGAGTTGATAAAATGGATTTCTAACAACTTTAAATGTTGCATCAATGTACACTTATGAACGATAGTTTATAGATATTTTATAAATGATACTTACTATATGGTAGAAGTGTTGAAGTAGATGTTGCCTCTAGGGTAGATGGTACCGAAGTGCCAGAATCAACCCCTTTTATAGGCAAAGGATAAGATGTTACATAACAAACATGTTGATAACAACAATAAGTGTTTATTTACATAAATATGATGTAAGAATTGACCCTTGACTTGTAACCTACACAAAGTTGTTGTTGTTTACATCACTATTGCATAATATGATAACCCTTGACCCTGTTTGTTGTGAACAATCCTTATCTGGGGTTAGACCCTTGTTGTTGACAGCCAAGGCATAAACAACTGATAAGGAATTGTATAAAAGCAAGGCGTAGGCAGTAACAGGCATTCAGTCCTGAATCAACTCCCTTTGTGAACAGGTCTAGTATTACAGTTATATTATTCTTACGGTTTGGTTCTATATTCATCCTTCATCAATTCTACATCTCTCTTCTAAGTGGCTTACTCCTGGTTTGGTTCTATTTGGACCAGTACTTACCTACAACCTCAGCAGGAAAGTACAATCAATGAAACCAAATTTTACATTTCAGTAATTTTATTTGATGATTGTACCAAATATAAAACAATGATTTTTCTTTCTTTTATATCCCTCAATAAGAAATCCATTGGAATATCATTCAGATTTAAATCCCTTGGATGTTTTGGTCTTTTACTCTCTTTATATCTAGAAGCTTTTCTTCTTAGTGATTCCAATTTCTGTTAAGTCTTTAATATTATCTTTAAATTTAAGGATAATATCTTCTGCTATTGTTTTACAAGTTTTTTCATTGTCACCAATTGCCATTTCCTTCGAATCCATTGTTGAATGAATTTTCAACATTTTCCAGATTTTTATACAACTTATGAATGTGGTTTTTATTTTTGTGTAGAAGAACATTGACTCATATAAATTCAAATTGATTTATTATATAGAGATTGCAATAAAATATATTATTTATTGTAAGCACATATCATTTGTCAATACCAGAAAAAAAACTTAGGTTTCACAGCATATGAAATTACGCAATACCTAATCACATTTCATTGTTTACTTTATATGTAATTCTAAAGCAAGCATATATGAAATTTATTAATTTAATTTTTAATTTAATTATCGCTTGTTATAACAGGCAAGACATATCTATCTAAAATAATCTTTGTAAACCCAACAACTCATGCACTCTTTAATTCTTTGAAAAATTGCATCGATTAATAAGACTTAAATCAGAGAGATATTTTGTTGGTATTGATTAAAATAGAAGATATAGGTGTGATAACATTTGTTGATAACAAAAATACCCAGATGATCCAATGCTTTAATTCCATTAAGTACAGGCGTTTAAAAAAAATGAACATAGTGTCAGGCATGATTAGTAAAAGGCTAATGCAGCTAATGAATTTGTAAGATGATAATTTAGT